TCGGACCAAAGAGAAGAAACGATTTAAGTTCGTCTGAACTTCTTGATGTTTTTTCTTTCAATTTTTTTGAGGGAAGTGGAGAGAAGCGATCATTCAAACAGCATAATTTGGAATGCACTTTTGTTAATCTTTGAACAAATATGGTTTATAATTGGTGTATAACATGCCATTGAACTGTTGCATTGTGGACGTATCTATGTATGTATGTATATGTGTGTGTTTGTTTATGCGACCGTGTAACTCTGTATAACAGACCAAAGATTTTTAAAGCCTAGTCTGAAGACCTCCGTTTTTGAATTATACTAGCGCTTGAAAAATACTGATCTGTAAGCTCTGAATTACGATGATATCGTTATCAGAGACTTTTGACACATATATGGTTTTGTGACAACGACGACAGGCGCACGAATTTGATAAAAACGTTTATCCACAGCATATTATTAGCCAACACTATTACAACAGCATACCAAATAAGTGGCTGATCTTCTGCGCTTTGCATATTTGTCTTCTTTGCTTTCTGCTCTTCACCATGAAAGGGGAGAAAGCAATAGCGAACACTACGGATACTGACACCCTCTTAAACCTTCTCCCCTCCTTTTTCAACTCCTAAAACCATCTAAGCGGGGTTTTAAAATTCGAGTAGGAGAGGAAAAGAAGCTTAATATAATCAGGAGCAAAAAAAAGAGAAGAGGATGAAAATGCAACAGCGACTGAGCAATGTTCACCAATAGGAACAGTAATTATCATTATAGGAATCAGTTGCCATAATCAGTGAGCATTGATACGAATCATATATTAGCAACAGCAACTCCTCTTCTTAAAAACCCCTTTTTTGCTCCCTATTCCATCTGTTCATTCGTTCTCCCATAAGCTACTTTCACAGTTTAAATAATCCAAAAACCAAAAACCAACATCCGCTTTTTTTTGTTTCTAACCAAAAAAACTTTAAAAACTTTGTTATTTTCTAAATGGCAAAAAGGGACAAAAGAAAAAAACGTTGCCGAAGAAATCTCCTAGCTCCTATTTGGTGAGGAAACTGAAAAGGAACTGAGTTAGAAAAAACAAGAGAAATAGATACATATACATTTATTGATATATTGAGTGGTCATCAAACCCGCTCCTGTTACTTTTGCTTTTTTTTTTTTTTTTCTTTTTACCCTTCCCCCCTTCCCCACCCCCCACATATTAGCGCCTATCAAGAGAGCCAAATTTTTCTCTGAAGGCAATCAGTCACCACGCTTTTTCCTCTATTTTTCACTTTTTTCTGAAGCATGACCGAATTTTTTAAGCAGCAGAAGAAGTAAAAGTAGAGAAAAAGATTGTTGAATTTAAAATATCAATGAACGGAACGGAGCAAATTTTTGCCGTAAACTATAAAAAGAAAAGCAAGAAAAAGAACAAAAAAATGATGATAATCAAAAATCTACAAAGAAACAAACCAACCATTAATCAGTGTTAAAAACTCTCAGTTTTAAAGCAGCTTTCCCTCTCCTTTTGGCAAAAGAAATTTTTTCGAAACTTATTTCGTTTCTCTCATTACACTTCATTTTAGGTTACATGTCTAAGAGAAAATATTTTTTTCTAGGCTAGTTTACAATGTCTGTACCACAAATACTGCAACAATTTATATATCAGCGGCTTCTCTACAGCTATAACTGTTAGCTGTGCCTTTACGGTACAGCTAACAATTAAGCGATAACTTCCAACTTGATTTCTCCCTCATTTAATAAATCCATTTGAATGACTCCAATCTGTAACAATTGGCTATAGACTGATACATATGTTTGTCTATACAATAAAAAGGTAAAAAAGAACACCAGCAAAAAAAGAAAGCACTGTAAGGCATAAATAAAAATCAAATAAATAATGATAGACTCAATAAAGAATACTATTTGGTTTGAACAAAGAGAAAGAAAATTTAATCCGAGTTTTTGTAAAGCACATGTAGTTACCAAACTAGTCAGTAAAATACAAGGATACAACGGTTTAAGGCAAAAAAAAGGTGAAATTGGTGTGCCAAATATCCGGCTAGAAAAAATAAAGCATAAACAGGAATTGAAAAACTGATTGATAGGTTGATGTTACAAGTGGAGGTAAAAAGGTTAACCGAAAAAATAAAAGACTACAGCAGCAATGGTATCAGATGCAGTAGTTGACTACACAGGAATAGAAGATTAGAAGATGCAAAAAATTTTTATTCAGTCAGATTCGTGTCATCCGTAAAGCCGGTGCCTCTACAACAGTGTTTTTGAATGAGTGAACGGCTGTGTGTTTGTGTGTCAAAAATTTCATACTGAAATAATTTTTGTTCAACAAAAACCTTTTATATGATATATTTGTGTGGCTGAAAAATTCTCTGACCCTCCCACTTTACGTGCCACATGTTCCGTATTGAAAGTGCAAAATTCGATCGAACTAAAGCAACAAACATCAGAAGTTCTCTTTATTCCTTCTCCGTCTCCTTCCTCCTCGTTTCGTCTTAACTCTCTAATTTTCTGTTGTTATTGCTGTTCTTTTTTTTTTGGTCTCGTCTTCGCTTTTTTTTTTTGCCTTGTTCACCGTCTCTGATAGATCAAACATTAGGAATTGGTTTAATTTATGCATGAAAAACTGTATAGCAACAAAAATGATAGTGTTTCAAGCGATAGAAAATACAGTTCTAGAAAGAAGGTAGTGGAAGACAAAAAAAAGACATTGTATACCAGAAAAAAGTATCTGAAGACGACAATTGATGGATAAGCAGTAGAATGAGTTAAAAAAGAAAAGAAGACTGAAGATGAGCAGAAAATAATTCTTCATTCTTTTTTTTCCTGTATAATCAAAAATAATATGTTCGAAAGAGAGGGAAGGGAGAGGGAGAAGAGGGAAAAAGACAAAAACGAAAATAGAAGCAGGGTTGGTTTCAGTATGCAAGGAAGTTAAAAAAAAAGAAAGAAAAAAAAAACGTTAATTGCCACTGTGAAATGTTGATGATGATTGAAAAGGCCAGAAACTTGCCAAAACCAGAAACAAGTAACGAGAACGACGGAGATTTTAGGGAAAGAGCGGGGTAGGTGATTGAGAGAAGTCAATGTTGTTAAAATTAACGGGCTGTTAACTGACAGATCGTCGTATTTTGTTGGTTGATATTACTGACACCGATCATGATGATTTTGATGCTGCTGGTATCGGTACCGCTGTCAATTTAATGGTAATGCTGTTGACGGTGTTGTTGAGTCTCCAGTGATATTCATTACGCCGCCACCAACACCGTCACCATAAATGCATGCTTGTTTCGGTAAACATGATGATATGGTACCAACAAGGTGGATTGATGGCAAGAATTATCGTGGTAAGACAATAAAAATTAGATGAGATGTAGGTAGAGGGAGAGTGGAGGAAAAAAGAAGAAAATTTGTTTTCATGTAATTTATTTGAAACAATATTATAGTCTTATACGGTTATGCTAATTAAAATTTGTTGGTTGAGGTTATTACGTTGATTGTTTTATGGCAGCTGTTGTCCAGTGCAGATGATATTGTGATAAAAATAATTTGGTATGGACATCTAATGATGCATTTTATGCGTCGACGATCGTTAACAACAACAACAACAACAACAGCTTAATGAATGTGAAAGGTTCCTCGTCAATACTGTTAAAACTGATTCAAAAGTGAACAAGTTTTTCCCGTTTTTTTTTCTTTACAGTTATACTTTTTTTTCAAACCGAAGACTCATATTAGCTGATAGTTCGTCTAATTTATCTTGTTGAGTAACGAAAACAAACCGCTTTTCTGTTATATGTTGTTTTAGTTTTTTGTAAACGACGAAGAAGAAGGAAAAAAAACAAGTAGGAATTTGTCTTTTGTAGTTTGTTCATCCTTTTTAATTTCTGTATCTCGTTGATGAATTAGTTGCAGCGATGGCAGCGATGGTAATATTGGTTTTGACGATGAATTTACTGTTGATGCTGTTTTCGAGTTTCCTGAAAAAAAAAA